ACTATTAACCTCGTCACTATCTTCTTGCTCTTCTATATCCGGGATTTCCAGATCTTCTTCCAGTACTGAAGGATTTATTACTTCTGTGCAAGAATTTGGTATTTTATATGGTACTCTAAGAACCAAATAAGCCCTAATTACCCTATCTCGCGCTGTGCTAAAAAGTTTTTTGATTTTCTGATATTGTCTATTATCTAAAAATTGGTAGTTAATTGTACATATTTTAACAAAATCATTATAAAGGGTTAGCAAATTTACTTTAACTTCCTCGCGCACACTCTCGCTTTTCGGTACGTTTGATTTTAAAACTCTTTTAGACTCACTAACGATAGCGTCTTTTAAATTTGTCAGCCGGGTATGAGTCTCATCCCAGTTGAACGTCATAAATAAATAAATAATAAATATTTATCCAGTAATAACTAAAAAAAAAAAATAAAACTACGTAAAAAGGAAATAATACCATAATATAGTAGATAGTTAGGTACCTAGAGAATAAACAATTTTGAAGGTCAAATGTATACTAGTTATTATGGACCTATATAGTTTAGCTTTTAAATTATGCATTCGTGAATAGAGCTAATATCAAAGAGAAGAAAAAAATAATAATAATCAGATGAACATGAATGAAATGGACTTAAAATAAGCACCATAAAGTCTTTTTAATATTTTGGGACATCTTCTTCTTTTCAGGAAATAATATAATGAAAGTTGTGAACACACGGGAACTCAGCTGCTCTATTACGGCATCAATTTTTCATTTTATTTTATCTATCTTTGAATGGCTCAATTTTCAGATCAGACAAGGGACGTATACTCAGCATCGGGCATAATAACAAGTTTGTACATACCGGCTGTCCTCTGCGTGTGTATGACTTACGAACTTTATGCGACAGCGTCTACATTATCAGCTGCTCTGGCTCTTAGCACCATGCTTCTGCCCAAATTGCGTTTCAGGCCTCTCCTATACGATTTACGCACTTTCAAAAATGTCATCAGACACACGGCTGCAGCAATCACATACAATATTACGCGAACGTCATGTGGTACGGAAACAGCGTTTTCTTCAACGATAAAATTCGAGTTTACCGCTCCGGTATCAGTCACTTCCGCGTGTTTACTAGAACTTTTCCCCATGTCTATTTTTCGTATCGCGCGCTCGGTCAAAAAATAATTATTTTTTTGATATTGATAATATAGTTCTTAAAAAAAAATTGTACTTAGGCACCATCCTGGCAGAATCGCCATGTATGATCCTTAATAAAACACAACGGATGTTATTGGTTTGAACGTTATATTGGATCTGAATAATGGTTACAATATGGTTTACATAGTTTGGTAATACTAATGACGTGAACTGGAGGTGACCTGATTATGATGTTATGATAATAATAATAATATGAATATACCTAGTGTTAATATTAAACTGCACTACACTTCTATGTACTGCTTGGCTCGATATCCCAGTTTCAATCCGGCTACTGAAATTTGCTGTGTCTCTGTCCAGTCAGCTAAAATACTGGTTTCTTCTAGAACATTCAAAAATTCTTCGGCACTCGTAGTTCCATTATAGGTAGGTATGGAATCTAATCAGCAGGTTAGGCATGTTGGTGTTGAATTGTGGTACTGGACTCGGAGGGTTGGACATCGTTAACGTCGCTTGGTTGTTCTCAACTTAAATTTAACTAATAAAATTACAGTTTCTCTCAGTTCAAAAATTATTTCCAACCCTACCGATGCTCTCACAATAGAATTAAAATAACCTCACAGTTGCTCTCAATGTACAAATAATAAACCCCACACCTGACACCAATGTAGTAATCCACCTAAGTACTCTATTAATTAGTTAGATGGTAAATGGCGAGCGGTTCTATTTGATGTTAATTATTTCCTCGGGTTGCTACAGAAGTAAGTGGTGAATGGTGCAAATGAGAGAAACAACTGTATAATAGTTTTTATACATATTTTATTAACTAAATCAGCACTATCAATTAGGAGAATTCAGCATAAGAATTCAGCATAACTTAGGCACACGACAAATAAAGAATTTTTTTTATATTAACAAATTCTTACTTTAATGTTCATACTTTGAAACAAACCAGTTATACACCCTCTTAATCAAAGTTTAGTTGATTATACGCTATTCATCTCGTTCCTCATTTGTTGGTTACAGGTTACACATTAAACAAATCCCTTTACTGACACTTCCTTAATACTGAATCCTTTCATATTAAAACTTTTAATTAAATCCCTGACTTTCCCTGACACTCCCAACTTACAAACTAAAATTAGACTGCATAAAGAATTTCTTTTTATTTAATAGTTTAAGCTCATCAATTCATTAACTCAATTTCTTCAAAAACGGTGTAGTAGCAATCCAATATTTGAATCCAAAATTCTATTTTTGAATTAAAACTCTTTTGGAAAATTCCACTTCAAATAAATTGGCACTAATCATGTTCATTATATTTTCCTAATTGAATATAAAAATGTCATTTGATTCAAAACAATTAAGCCTTCAGTAAAGTTCCTTAGAAAAGTTCACTTAAAATCAAGTTTTAATTTTCTTATAATAAATTCACTTTAAATTGTTGTCAAGAGTCAAGTTCATTCTATTTCACTGATTAAAATTTTTTATTAAATTAAATTCAAAAGTCAAATTTACTCAAAAATCAAATAATTCAAGTTCAAAATTCTTCTAGTAATTGTTAGCACTTCAAATTGTTAGCAATAGTCAAGTTCATTCTATTTTGATAATTAAGCCCTTTTTTATCAAAATAAATTCAAATGTTATTTCACTCGGAATATCAAATAAATTTTCAGTAAAGTTCCTTAGACCGTTCTCTTAAAATTAATTCACTAATAGATAACTACTAAAGTCTCAAATTTCTACATGTACTTACAACCTGTCCTTCAATTCACAAACGATCAAAATTACTTTCAGTTACTTAGCACGCACAAACAAAAGAAAACTTGTTACTACTTTATGACTCTTACTGGACAATAGTCAATTGCAAACTTTGTTTTGCCCGAGGCAAAACTAAAATAAAAAAAATCTTTTGGTGGAGACTCACTGCCAATTCTCTTGATTCCTTAAATCTTACTATCAAATCAACTGCTGGATGTTATCTCTTTTCTGATTGTAACCTGCTTAAATAGTACTCAATTCCCACCAAAATTCTGTTACGTGGGCGGTCATTTAGCATTGTTGTTTTCCAAGAATTGTTTTTACTTAGGAAATGATGCAACATCCGGCGGAAACACCGGTGTTGTAGTTTATCAATTATGTCGCAATTAAATCACATGAGTATAGTGATTTCCGGTTAAACGCGTCCTAATTTTATAATCTTTTATTGACTTTTTTTTTTGTTATCGGAATGTCGCAATAATCTATTAATTGGCGACATCGAACTCTGACATCCGGTCGCCTATCGCTTGCGTTGGTAAAAAAAATTGTTATGTAATTTGAGTTGAGCTTAGAAATTTCGTAATTTTTTATTTATACTATTTTTATACGGAATTAGATGCTGGATTGCTAGGAGATTTAATAAGTTGAGATTAAATCAGCGTTGCCAGACCCTCGAAAATTAAAGTACTGATCAAGAGGCAAAAAATGTACTGGAAAACGTAAAAATGTACTAACATCAGAAACTGAACTGGAGTTCATAAAACTAATAAAGTAGATGGTTTTAGCATACTTATTTCGTTTTTTTAGGCTTAAGAACATCCTCTCAGCACAAGCGCTGCACCGGTAATTTGCCGCGTTTTTCATGTCATAAAAATTGAACCGAAATTTTTCAAAATCGTTACATTTTCAGAAGATCTGACATTATAGATTGGGGCAGGTTACTTATTTCACGAAATTTAATGTTAATATCCTCTAGCTTCTCAAGAATGTACATGTTAGGCAATTTAAGTATTAGGTAATAGGTCAGTATTAAGATTGCTATCACCCTTGGATTTTTTTTTTGATCTAAGAAACGTCAAACATCTAATCTAAGCAAAACCCTCCTTTCTGGTGGATCTTGTAAGTAATCTAAAACTTCAGCTTAAACTCCTTTTTTCTTGCGCTGCATGCCAAATTTTCGAAAGGTCAGTTTCTGCAGAGATCACAAACCAGTTAGAGTAAATTTCATTGGTTGAAACTAGTTTTCTGACTGTTTTTGACTGGAAACAGACCTGAACTAAGCGAGATTAAACTCCTAATCGAGATTGAGTCCATATACGGGCGTAAAACGGCCGCGGGCTAAAGGCATGTTTGGGTGCACTCAAAATTCTGCTCCGGAGTATTTCGTGATCCCCTTCCGTCCCAAGGAGATTACACACATGTGCTTATCGGCTTCGTTTTTGGTAATCGCCGCCATATTGGTGTGCCATCATTGCTGACGTCATAACTAAGACGTCAGCTGTTTAAACAGTCTACGTCAAGGCGAGTAATAACATGCTGCCTACGTCACAACTGGTATTTTGGAAGGGGGGGGGGGGAAGAGGGGGGGGATTTGTTACACACAGGCCTTATGAGGATAGGCCATCCTGGTAGTAATAGTGTATATCGTCCTTGCTTCCGTCAATTCGAAAATGCAGGTATTCGTTAACTTTTCCCGCCGTTTATTAAGAATATCCCCGGTATTGTACAGCGGCGGGAAAATGTACTGAATTTTATAGTGTGGTACTGACGTACTGAAGAGGGTCAAATTGTACTGATTTCAGTACATCTGTACTGATGCTGGCAACACTGGATTAAATTATCTTGCAACTGACGTTGGTACTTTTCTAATGAAAATGTCAGTTAAAAATCGACGAACAATATCTATATTGTACGTACTATCTTACATTTAATCTTACCCTTTCCGACAATTATTATACAGTTTAAAATTGACAATTTCTCAAAAGTAAACTCGCTTGTTTATAATCAAGAGTAGATAGCGTTATCACAGAATTTGAATAGACCATTACCGCTTTGCTTGTTAAAATACGTGATTGTGATTGATTACTTTTTTTAGGTAAACGAGATGGTACTGGTACGTGTATAGGAGACAGCGGTGCCGGTTTTATGATGAACAAAAACGGAAAATTCTACTTACGAGGATTGGCATCTTTGGTACTGAGCGACAAAGGCAAATGCGATCTCACGAATTTCATGGTGTTTTGTGACGCAGCCAAATTAACTGACTGGATAAGGGACGCAATGACAATTTAGACGTCGACTATAATTTTCTAATAAAAAAATTTATGGCTGTTTTTAGATTCTAAGATTAAATAAATATAGCGTGATAAATAAATAATTAAATAATTTATTTTAGAAATTAAAGTGTTTTATTCTTTGAACGTGACAATAACTTTCACGATACAGGCACATTCACAGCAAAAATCGTGAAACACGTGTATTTTGATTGCCTTATATTTATTAATTATTTATGTATACCCATATACATATATATACCTAAAATAGGCTCCAAAATACGGTTCATTGTTTTGTAATTGTTTGTAATAATATCTAATAAAATAATTGAATTGTAATATGAATGTCCTCTGTTTCGTTTTTGGTCTTGGTGCCTGGTTATGGCAGGAAACTCAACAGGTATGTAAGCACTTCTTAAGAAGGCGATTTATTCGTCTCAATTTCATACATACATTATAGAAAACCATCAGTCCTAGAATTATTAACGGAGAAAAAGTCTCAATAAAGGATTATCCCTACCAAGTCGGTTTAGAAATTACTTACCACGATAAATCAGAACTACTTCAATGTGGAGGGGCTCTTATTTCTAAAAAACACATTCTAACTGCAGCTCATTGTTTCAACTTTCGGTAAGCGAAAAATATTTCACTCCAAAGCTCTTAGATTTTTTCAAATGTTTTAATTCTTATAGGAGTGAAGATCCAGAAATAGTCACAGTTTTAATGGGGAGCGATAGATCGATCAAAACATTCCATGAGGAAGGCAAATTACAGAGTGGTGCACAATTACAACGTTGCAGAAAATGTTGGAGAAATCATCCCAAATTTGAGCCAGTTACTTACAAAAATGACATTTCTATAATTACGTTAGAGCATGAAATCGAATTATCTTCCCAAGTTCAACCAATAAGGTATGTATCTAGGAATTGAGTATAGTGATTTCAATTACGAAAATTCAATACAAATATTAATTTTAGTCTTCCAAAAAGAATAGACCTTATACATAACATGGTAAACAAGCCAGCTGTAGTCAGTGGTTGGGGCTTAACGGAAAATCGCGAAGCTTCTGATACTCTAAGAGCAATCAATGTAACATTAACAAATCAGTATTGCCCTGAAAAGACTCTTTGTTACATTCCAGTGAACAATAAAAGCGAATGTAAAGGAGATAGTGGAGGTCCAATTGTTATAGAGAAGAAGGTTGTAGGAATAGTATCTCATTATGACAGTGGTGATAAAAAAATGGATCCCACTTTTTGCGAGCAAAGTGTGCTTATAATTCAAACTAATGTTGCAAACCATTTGGATTGGATACAAACAGTTACCAAAATTCCAGTTGAGAATTTTTGGAGTGCTTTGTCCGACTTTATTGAATTACTTCTAGGTAATATCGAATGGGATTTATTCTTGAATTAAAATTGAAATATTGATAATAAAATACTATATAACCATTGAAAATGTAAGCTTTATACTTTCAAATGATGCACTACAAATTTCTTCGTCAGTTCGTTACCATGGATCATGGTTATATCATGGGGCTACATATCCAGTCCCGAATGTACGCCTCCCAGGTTCATATAGGTACCTACTAGTTTCCATTTCCAACAATTGAAAATCCTGCTGCCCTCTAATATCCTCCCTCCACCCACTGGCGGCTTGCAGAGGAGGCAGGGGAGGCTAAGCCACCCCCAAAAAATTTAAAATTCAATCTCGATTTTTTATCCCCAATCCTGACTAAAATAATAATTCACAAATTACACATTCCAAATTTTGATATTATAATGTAATTAAGAACGATCTGACAACTTTATTTCAAATTATTCCGCGCCTCCATGACAAAAATTTGTGAATCTGTCCCTTCCCTGCAATTATTCTAAGAATAGAAATCGACCGGAGGCTAGACTCTCACAAGTCTCACATGCTTCACTGAAATCTAGCATTCAAATGGCCCGCGAATTTCCACTACTGGCGTTCAGCGACTATTATCGTCTCGAGAGGCGGCTAGCCGCACCACAGATCGTACGATTGAAAACATCTGCAATCCTTGCTTTTTTATCTCTGTTTTATGCATTAGTGTTCCAGGTCACTTTTCTAGTTGGAAGTTGTAGATTTATAATTGATTGAATTTTTTTTGCATCAGGTGCATTGGGCATTGTAAATTATTCTACAATTGTGCATCTTGTTGCAGAAAGTACATAATTATTGTTCAAAGTCTGTTCTCGTAGTTGTGCGACAATATTGTTTGCTCCTGTTTTGGGACGATTTTAGTGTGTTTAGTGCAAAAATCTAAAAACAAAAGTGGTATCAGTGAAAACAGTGCTAAAAGTACTTCAAAACTCACTAAAAGGTACGTGGAAAAACCTTTTATTCAGAGAGAAAAAAACAATTTTCTTATCATAATTCTCCGAGTAAACCGATATCATAAGGTTCATTATCGCCCAGCAGGTACCGCCCACCTGCTACCCTTCTACCTTAATCAACACAAAAACAGCAAGTCGCCAAAATTAGTACAACAGTATGATAGTACCATAGAAAAATCAGTACGCTCGAGAATTGGGAAGCGGGAAGATTCATTCATTTAATATTTCAAGGCTTTTGTACTGAATACATCGCTGTTGTATTTAATGGAGGAGCCGAAGACATTTTCGGATATGTACAAACTGGTAACTGAACAAAACAATGCACAAACCCAAAAGTTAACAAAGCAAATACAAGAAAGTGAATCGAATGTTACAAGGAAATTTAATTCATTTAATCGGAAAATAGAAAAAATACACAAAAAGAACGTTTCTTTTGAACGCAAAATCAGACGTAACAACATTTTACTCTTTGGATTTAATTCTGAAAATTGCAACAGCCTAATAAAGGACACCCTTGCCAAGCTTAACGAACTTTTCGGCACAAACATTAGAGAATCCGATATAAATAACTTATATAAATTGGGAAGAAAGGGAGACTCACCAATTCTTATTGAGTTTCTGTCGTATTTGAAAAAGTCCGAACTATTCAAAGACGCAGAAAAGCTTAGAGCCCTTAAAAACACAGGTTACGCCATTTCTAATGACTTATGCAATGAAGACAGGGAAGAGCTTAAAATTATAAAAAAACATTTTAAGAAAGCTAGGGACGAAGAGAAGCAAGTTAAAATAAAAGGATTAACTTTGGAACTAGAGGGAAAGATTTATACTGCAAAACAACTAGAACAGTCGGACACTGATACAGACTCTGGTGAGTCGAACAATTATTCAGAACCATCATCCTTGGAAGAGGAGGAGGAAGAAGTAATCGAAGAGGAGTATAGGAACAAGACTCGGAACAAGACCAATACAACAGAAGAGAGTTGTCCAGAAAAAGCCAAAAAAAAACGAAAGAAAAGCAAAACTCAGTCCAATTGGCACTCACACCAGATCTAATAAAAAAAAAAGATAAGGTTTCTGTGTTTTTTTTTTCTCATTTCTGTTTTTTTTTGCAAAACAGTTACATTGTATTTATTTTTACATTATATTTTTTCTTGATCTAGGTAGGTTTTACTTTTTTTTTTTTCATAATAGGTAGTTGATATGTATGTATGATAGTAGGTAGAAATGGATGAATACATTCAGAATTTTGAATACATGCAACATAACAATGAAATTTGTAGTTCAGTGAAAGAATGTCAACGAGCATTAAGCCAAGTTGCTAGAATACATACATTCGAAGTTTTTCACAACAATATTAATAGTGTCGCGGCTTTGGGTTGCCTGCTGACAAAAATCTTGGGTTCGTCGTTCGTTTCGTTTATTCCAAAAATCAAAGTCCAATTAACACAGCAATAATTTATTCCACTTAACAAAACACTCTGACACTAATTACTTTATTAACAAACTCAACAATCAAACTCTTTACAATCACTATTTAAATCGTATCACAGTCGAACTGAAACTAAACTTACAAACCAATGCCGGCCTTCTTATATATCCCTAAATCTATTCCTGTGAAATCTAGAATACACACGATATTCTAATTTTCCAGATTAAAGTAGAATAATTCGCTAGATTCTAGTATTTCCGCCATCGATTCTTGACAGCCTGGCGGACGCCGTTGTTTCTGGCACTGCCCTCCTATTAAGGTTGATCGTCCCGATCAACTTCACGCCCATGATATTTCGCCAATCTGTCCAGATGTACAACTTTCATCTTACTCCTGGTGTTGCGCTCGATAAACCAAATCATTGATCCTCTTGATTATTTTGTAGGGTCCCTCCCACGCTGAAAACAACTTCGGCGATACTCCTTTCTTTCTAGCTGGATTATACAGCCACACTAAATCACCTTCTTGAAATCCGGCTGAATTGGCTTTCATGTCGTATCTGGTCTTCATCCGGTCACTGGCTAGCTGAATATGCTCCCGAGCAAAATCATGGATACCCAGAAGTCGTGCCCTTACTTCGTCGGCATAATCTCGGATTTCTCTCCGTTCTTCTTCAGGTATCCCAAACATCAAATCGCAAGGTAACCTGAGTTCTCTTCCAAAGACGATTCTGGCTGGACTTTCACCTGTTGTCTCGTGAACAGCTGCTCTATAAGCCATTAAAAACAGAGGCAAGTGTTTGTCCCAATCACGCTGGTTCCTTGCGACCACTTTTGTTAGATGCTCCTCTATGGTCTTATTAAATCGTTCTACCATGCCATCAGACTGTGGATGTAAAGGTGTTGTCCTGGTCTTACGAATTCCCATGATTTCACAAATTTTCTTAAAGATGGCAAATTTGAAGTTTCGTCCTTGGTCTGAATGTAACTCTAGTGGCAAACCATGACGACTAAAAACTTCGTCCACTAGCACCTGGGCAACAGTGATGGCTTCTTGATTGGGAATAGCGAAAACTTCTGGCCATTTACTGAAGTAATCCATGATAACTAAGATGTATTTGTTACCACGCTCTGACTCTGGGAACGGTCCAGCAACATCTATCGCTATTCTTTCAAATGGGAGACCGACGTTGTACTGTTTCATGGGCCCCCGAAATCTTAGTTTAGGGTCTTTACTGGTAACACAGATGTCGCATTTTCGGCACCAGCTTTTAACGTCTTCATGGTAGTGAACCCAATAAAAACGTTCCCGAATTTTGTCCAAAGTCTTGTCAACTCCGAAATGTGCTCCTG